GTCTGGGTAACAACAGCGAGACTACGTCTCAAAAAAAAAAAAAAAAAAAAAAAAAAAAAAAAAATGGCCAGGCGCGGTGGCTCATGCCTATAATCCCAGCACTTTGGGAGGCCGAGGCGGGTGGATCATGAGGTCAAGAGATCGAGACCATCCTGGTCAACATGGTGAAACCCCGCCTCTACTAAAAATACAAAAAATTAGCTGGGCATGGTGGCACGTGCCTGTAGTCCTAGCTACTCGGGAGGCTGAGGCAGGAGAATTGCCTGAACCCAGGAGGCGGAGGTTGTGGTGAGCCGAGATCACGCCATTGCACTCCAGCCTGGGTAACAACAGCGAAACTCCATCTCAAAAATAAATAAATAAATAAATACATTAATAAAAAAGAGTTCAAGACCAGCCTGGCTATCATGGTGAAACCCCATCTTAAAAAAAAAAAAAAAAGTAAATACTCTTTTGTTTTACTAGAGATAAAATCTTGCTATGTTGTCCATTGCCCAGGCTGGTCTTGACCGCCTGGACTCAAGTGATTCTTCCACTTCAGCCTCCTTGACTTAATAATTTTTTGTATTACTTTTATTGTTTTAAAATTATTAAAGTTTGTTTTATGGCCCAGCATATGGTATCTCCTGGAGAATGTTCCATATGCACTTGAGAAGACTGTGTACTCTTTTTTCACTGAGTGGAGTGTCTCTTGATATCTATTAGGTTCCGTTGGCTTATAGTATGTTCAGGTATTCTATTTCCCTGTTGATGCTTTGCCTAATTGTTCCATTTATTATAGAAAATAAAGTATTATGGCCGGGCGCGGTGGCTCATGCCTGTAATCCCAGCACTTTGGGAAGCCGAGGCGGGTGGACCACAAGGTCAAGAGATCGAGACCATCCTGGTCAACATGGTGAAACCCCGTCTCTACTAAAAATACAAAAATTAGCTGGGCATGATGGCGCGTGCCTGTAATCCCAGCTACTCAGGAGGCTGAGGCAGGAGAATTGCCTGAACCCACGAGGCGGAGGTTGCAGTGAGCCGAGATTGTGCCATTGCACTTCAGTCTGGGTAAAAACAGTGAAACTTCGTCTCAAAAAAATTAAAAAAAAGAAGATGAAAAAATAAAAGGAAGCAACTATTTACTTACAGTTCGTTACGTTAATCTTATCGATTTAATACTTCTGTTCTTCCATCTCTGTATTTCCTACCATTTTTCTTTTCTTCTGCCTTCCTAGGGAGAACCATTAAGTTTTTCACATTTTTTTTTTTCCGGAGATGGAGTTTTGCTCTTAATGCCGAGGCTGTAGTGCAATGGTGCGATTTTGGCTCACCACAACCTCTGCCTCCCAGGTTTAAGCGATTCTCCTGCTTCAGCCTCCTGAGTAGCTGGGATTACAGGGATACACTACCACATCCAGCTAATTTCGTTTTTTTTTTTTTTTTTTTTTTTTTTTTTAGACGGAGTTTCGCTTCTTGTTACCCAGGCTGGAGTACAATGGCGCGATCTCGGCTCACCGCAACCTCCGCCTCCTGGGTTCAGGCAATTCTCCTGCCTCAGCCTCCTGAGTAGCTGGGATTACAGGCACGCGCCACCATGCCCAGCTAATTTTTTGTATTTTTAGTAGAGATGGGGTTTCACCATGTTGACCAGGATGGTATTGAGCTCTTGACCTTGGGGTCCACCCACCTCGGCCTCCCAAAGTGCTGGGATTACAGGCTTGAGCCACCGTGCCAGGCCAATTTTGTATTTTTAATAGAGACGGGGTTTCTCCATGTTGGTCAGGCTGGTCTCGAACTCCCAACCTCAAGTGATCTGCCCATCTCCGCCTCCCAAAGTGCTGGGATTATAGGAATGAGTCACTGCACTCAGCCAAGCTTTTAACATTTATATTCCATTAGAATGTGATTTTTTAAAAAATTTGAGACAGAGTCTCAGTCGCCTAGGCTGGAGTGTAGTGGCGTGACCTTGGCTCACTGCAATCTCTACCTCCTGGGTTTAGGCAATTCTTGATTTTCATACCTCAGCCTCCTGAGTAGCTAGGATTACAGGAGTCCACTACCGCTAATTTCTGTATTTTTAGTAGAGATGGGTTTTTGCTATGTTGACCAGGCTGGTCGCGAACCCTGGCCTCAAGTGATTTGCTCGCCTTGGCTTCCTAATGTGCTGGGATTACAGGCATGAGCCACTGCACCAGGCCTAAAATCTGATTTTTAAAGAACAGAGTAAAATAAAGAATGTGTTGGTATACTGAATTGTGTCATCCCAAAAGATGTTCATGTCCTAATCCCAGTACTTGTAAACATGATCTTACTTAGAAATAGGGTCTTTGTGGATGTAATTAAGTTAGGGTTCTAGAGATGAGATCATCCTGGATTTATGGTGGGCCTGAAATCTATTGACTGGTGTCCTTATAAGAAAAAGGAGTCCAGGCATGGTGGCTCACGCCTGTAATCTCAGCATTTTGGGAGGCCGAGGCAGGTGGATCATGAGGTCAGGAGTTGAGACCAGCCTGGCTAACATGGAGAAACCCTGTCTCTACTAAAAATACAAAAAATTAGCCAGGCATGGTGGCACATTCCTGTAATCCCAGCTACTTGGGAGGCTGAGGCAGGAGAATCGCTTGAACCCAGGAGGTGGAAGTTGCAGTGAGCTGAGATCACACCACTGCATTCCAGCCTGGGTGACAGAGCAAGACTGTCTTGAGGAAAAAAAAAGGAGAGGAATATTTGACATGTCATAAAAAAGGCCACACATGAAGGTGGAGGCAGACATTAGAATTATGCTCTCACAAACCAAGGAATGCCAGGAGCCACCAGAAGCTGGAAAAAACAAAGATGGATTCTCCCTTAGAGCATGGCCTTGGCAAACACCTTGATTTTGAACTTCTGGCCTCCAGAACTGTGAGAGAACAAATTTCTGTTGTTTTACTGTTACCCAGTTTGTAATAACTTGTTATGGCAGTCCTAGGAATCTAGTATACCTACTAAGTAATCTAGGATACCTACCAATAAACATTCCAGATTTATTTTTGTTGTAAATCAATTTTTGCTTCAGTTTATAAAAATTTTCCTCCCTGTCCAATTAAGACTTTGGCCACAGGGTTAAGAGTGGTGACTCTAGTTGTTACAAAATACCTCAAAGCATTAGTCTTCATTTATTAATATTGATCTTGAACAACAAATAGATATATACACATTTCAGTAACTTTTCTATTCCCTATCTAGGCATTACAATCAAGAAGGCAGCAGGGAATTTGTGCCAGTTCATCGATTTGTTGCTTATTATCTCCAAATTCACCATTGTTGACTGCTCTGTGAAAATGGATCTGAGCCATTTAAGTATTTTTCCTTTTGTCAGCTGGCACTGAAGCTTTTCCAGAAGAAGGCATTGGAAAGACGGTACGGAAAGCGAAGGTTTTGCTCCCTGCCTCTGGCCGGCTTACTGGGTTGGGTGTTCCTGCAGCTTGTGCAGCTCTCTCCAGCAGCTGGCTTCTGTGTTGCAGTTTTAGTAGCGTCAGGCAGCTTCCCCTGGCACCTTCCCTCTTGTGGTTTTTGTCGTAAAGTTCCTCTGCTGAAACATTTCCCTATGAACATCCTTCTCAGGCACCCTAGCAGGCCAATTCCAGAGGGTGGGTTTCCAGTAAGTCCTAGAATGCAGAGTTCCAGTAATTTCCAGAGGTTGGAGTTTAAGCAAGTTTTGCCTCTAAGGCACTACAGCATCTTTCTTGCCATAGAGTGAGTCTCCACTTGCTGTGTTCTCTACAAGAAGGTCTGTATTTCAGCTAAGGGCAGAGAGTGAGGGGGTAGTGGCTATCATATCTACTATTATATACTTGCTATATCTATAGTATTTAGAGTTCTCTTCACTCCTTGCTAGCTAAGCCCTCATTATTCAATCTCCTGTTATCTTTAATAATTATTTATCCTAATCTTTCCTTATTCAAATGATAATGTGCTTTTTCCCTCTTGATTGAACTCAGACTGATACAGAGGTGATCATAGAATAACTGCCAAATAAATTTTGAAAGAGTACACAAATACATTTTCACATGACTTTTATTATAATTCCTTGAAGTAGACATGGCAAGTACTATTTATTATTTACATTTTACAGGTGAGGAATGAGGTAAACAATTGAACTTATCACCTAGGGTCATTGTAAAGATTAAATGAGGTAAGCATGTAAAAGTGCTGAGTACACAATAATGGCTTGTTAAGTGTTAACTGTTATATATAGGTCAAACGTTCCTAATCCAAAAATCCAAAATTCAAAATGCTACACAATCCAAAATTTTTGAGTGCCAACATGATGCCATAATGGAAAGAAAATTCCACGTCTGACCTCAAGTGGAGGGCCACAGTCAAAAGGCAGTCAAGAATTTGTTTCAGGTAGTTATTGAAATATTATATAAAATTATCTTCAGTCTATTTGTATAAGGTATAAATGAAACGAATGAAATTCACATTTAGACTTGGGTCCTATAGCTGAAATATCTCATTATTTATACACAAATATTCAAAAATCTGAAAAAGTCCAAAATCAAAAACATTTCAAGTCCCAAGCACTTTGGATAAGGAATACTCAACCTGTACATTATACTTTATAAAAATTATTCAGTCTGGTATTTTGCTCAACTACTTGCAATAGTTGTCTAGGTCTCATGTATTTTTTTTTTTTTTTTTTTTTGAGACGGAGTTTCACGCTTGTTACCCAGGCTGGAGTGCAATGGAGCGACCTCAGCTCACTGCAACCTCCGCCTCCTGGGTTCAGGCAATTCTCCTGCCTCAGCCTCCTGAGCAGCTGGGATTACAGGCACGCGCCACCGTGCACAGCAATTTTTTTTTTTTTTTTTTTTTTGCATTTTTAGTAGAGACGGGGTTTCGCCATGCCGACTAGGATGGTCTCGATCTTTTGACCTCGTGATCTACCCGCCTCGGCCTTGCCAAAGTGCTGGGATTACAAGCTTGAGCCACCGCGCCCCAGCCCGGTCTCATGTATCTTTTCTTTTCTGTTTTAAAAATTGGAACACTTCAACGAATTTGCGTGTCATCCTTGCACAGGGGCCATGCTAATCTCTGTATCGTTCCAATTTTAGTATATGTGATGCCGAAGTGAGCAACTCTCATGTATCTTTTCATAGCATTTTGTTTTATCAATTAGTCGGATTTGTTTTTTTTTTGCTGTTGTTATTTTTGAGACGGAGTTTCGCTCTTGTTACCCAGGCTGGAGTGCAATGGCGTGATCTCGGCTCACCGCAACCTACGCCTCCTGGGTTTCAGGCATTTCTCCTGCCTCAGCCTGCTGAGTAGCTGGGATTACAGGCACGCACCACCATGCCCGGCTAATTTTTTGTATTTTTAGTAGAGATGGGGTTCACCATGTTGACCAGGAATGGTCCTGGATCTCTTGACCTCATGATCCACCCGCCTTGGCCTTCCAAGTGCTGGAATACAGGCGTGAGCCACCGGGCCCGGTCCGTATTTGTTGTGTTAAGTTCCAAAGCAGTAACAACCAAAGAGAAGCCTATGGCTTCACAATTACCTCCTGTGGTTATTGCTTTCTGAGGAAAAAAAAATCACAAGAGATAGCTAATGAACATAGGCTAAATTTATGTCAGCTTAGAAATTCAAGGCTCACTGTGGTCTGTGGCAGAGCTTTGAGTGAGGAAACTCAATTCTCAAGAATGTAGTCCTAAATTTAGATGAGCCTTCAAATTTAAATATTACAATGTAAATAATACATGCAACTTAAACGGCATTTCTATCTCACCAGGTTTAGGTGAGGGATGGGGTGGGTACAGGATGATAGGTAAAGTAGGGAAGAAAAGGACCCGTTTTCTAATCTGTGCCAATTATCATACCAATCCTTTGATCACTGAAGACTGAAGGTCGGTACAGTGCCAAGGGTTGGGGTTATATATTAAACAGTTTAGGTCCCAAACCTGTAGAAAACTATTAATACCTTGGCATAGAGATATACAATAATAAAGATTATTGAAAACTCTTGTCTAAATACTTTAGTAGTATTTGAAAACACAATAGAAATTACTTTGTAGGAATGGTATAGTTACGGCAAGTGTTAAACCTTCAGAAGGCGGGAACATGCTTCACAGCTGATTGCAGATTTCTCACTCGTATTTGTCAGAATCCGGGGTTATTTTAAGTAGTTGTCTATCAATATAAGCCCCGCACTTTGGACTGGTAAGTACCAGCATTTCATTTGGTAAACAATAATAATAATTTGAAACAGAAACAAGTCACGATCAAATAGGGACTCTTAATCCTCCCTCAGGCATAAAACCCTATAGCCAGCTAGCCGGCTTTCCGTGGGTAGAGTATAAACAAAACCGTTTTGGTGCCCAGAGGAAAAAGAGGAAAGCAGCTGGGTCAAAACACCCTCTCTCAAGTTCTCAAGATCAACTCAGGGGGACGGGTCCTCCACCGGAAAGGGCCGGATTGCCTTCACAGGAAGGGCAGTCACTTCGGAGCTCGCAGACACGAATGCCACCACAGAGTTCCACGGCGGCTGCCAGAGCGTCGGCCGTCAGTTAGCACCTCCCCCTCCTTCCCAGAGCTGTAGCTAAGCAACCACCGGGTTCTGGGAGAGTCTAAGCTCTGCTGCTGCGTTAGTGCCTCTAGCGGCGAACTACGAGCGCTGCAGAACCCTATGACCACTTTAACCCTCCCCTCTCTCCACCCCCTTTGTCCCCGCCCACTTCTTCGCCACTTCAGCTCCTCCCTCTGCTTCTCCGTCTCTCTCTCTCTCTCTCTCTCGCTCTCTCTCTCTCTCTCTCTCTCTCTCTCTCTCTCTCTCTCGTCTCCTCTCTCTCTCGCTCTCTCTCCATCTCTCTCTCTCTCTCTCCTCTCTCTCTCTCTCTCCTCCCCCCGTCCCTCTCTCTCTCTCTCTCCCCGCCCCCCCAACCCCCCGCGTTTCTTCTCCCTCCCTCTCTCTCTCTCTCTCTCTCCCCCTCCTCGTCCTCTCTCTCTCTCTCTCTCCCCCCCCCCCGTCTCTCTCACTCACCACGCACTCTCACTCACTCACTCTCCTCTCCTCCTCCTCTCCCCCCTCCTCTCCTTCCTCCTCCGCCTCCTCAGCTCTTGGGCTAGAATATCTATGGGTCGAAACGTGAGGCGATGAATTCGAGAGAGAGCGAAACTAGGACGAGGAGTGCGGCGGAAGCGGCGGGACTCCCGGGCATGGGGGCTTCACCACAATAGAGGCAGCGCCCCCACCCGCCCCCGCCAGCCCCTTCAGAGCGAAGCCCCCAAACCCCCTCGGGAAAAGGATGGCGGCGGCACCTACCCAGATCGAAGCCGGTGGGTAGCTGTGTCTGGGGGGCGGAGGGGGGGGCTAAGGGAATGGGGGCTTAGCGTGAAGGCTGTCAGTTTCTTTTGAAAAAGCTTCTATTTCTCTTCTTTACCTCCCTCTCAACCTCTTTTCCCCCCGTCTTCCCCAGAGCTGTATTACCTGATCGCTAGGTTCTTGCAGTCTGGACCCTGCAACAAATCCGCTCAGGTAAGGGGAAGAAAGAGACCTGGGAGTCGTGGTGAATGGTCCCAGTAGGGAAATTGAGGCAGCGGGACGAGCAGTTCCGCTGAGGGTGACGGAAAGGCCGGCCTTGACTATTCAAACAGCTGCTGGGCTTTAAGTGTGGTGGGAGGAATAGGTTGATGGACCGAGCTGCTTCTCATATCTGTGTTTCCCTTTTGCTCAGGTGCTAGTGCAGGAGCTCGAGGAGCATCAGGTACGGACCCCCTTCGGGAAGGGTGGGGAGGGTTGAGGTGAGACTGGAGGAAGAAGAGGGTAAGCCAGGGGCGGAAGACGGGCTGGGATAGAGGCTTCGATCTGGGTACTCGTAGCTGTTGTCACCGGGGTGATTTGGCTTCTTTACTCAAAAGGGGCAGACAACGCTGGGGTCTTAACTCGTCCCCGCTTTATGCTTGTGGGAGGCGGTTTTTCAGGATTTCCTTCTCCGCGGCCCCTCTTTCCCCCATACACTCGTGTAGCTCTGAGCCAATAGCTATCAGGCCGAGAGATATAAAGACGCTAAAGGGTCGAGGACTGGGACACAGGTTGGGTCCAGTTGATGGGGAGCGGAGGCTTTTCCTTCATCATTTGCCACCCCTTCCCCCTTTCTTTTCGTCCGGCCCCCAGCTGATTCCGCGCCGCTTAGATTGGGAGGGGAAAGAACACCGAAGAAGCTTTGAGGATCTGGTGAGTAAAGTTTTCATTTCAACTTAACCTAACTCTTTCTCTACTCCCTCCCCACCTTGTACCCCCAACCCGCCCCCCACCCCACCTCTTAGCCGACGAGGTTCTAGAGCTCCTTGCCGAGCCAAAGAACGACTGCCCCTTCCCCCATCCCTGCTAGTCGGAAAAAGGGTACCTTGCCCTCCCCTTGGCCTTGCTTGTTTCCACCCGAAAACTTTGAAGAATGTGAGTTGATTATCAGAGGTGCCGTGTTGTGGATTATGAATATGGTACAAACATTGGGGAAGGCCCATTGTAGGAGGAAAAGGGAGAGAAACCAAGGGGTTATCTTGGGGCACGTACTAAGGTCTGACGCTGGCCAATGACAGCGTTGGTAACAGCCCGGAGTTCCGGATTAGTGGAAGAAAACTGGTTTCTGGTTGGTCCTGGCCTGAAATACGGGAACTAAGGCCAGGCTTGGTGTTTTTTTGGGGGGGGGGGTGGGAGGAGGGAGGCGTGGGAGGAAGGGGCTCAGGAGGGGAATTGACGGACCCGGGATTGGGAAAAACGACATAATTAAAAATAATAAGGAGTATCAGGCCACTTTCAAATTTTGCCGGTTAGGTAATGGTCTACTGAGTAAAAGCATAATCGTTATGTATCTCCGATGTTATACGCTCATTCAATCATCTGTTAAGTCGCATTTGCATAGATCCGTTTTCATTAAATACAAACTGAGTTATGACTTTATTGACGATTGGTGAAACACGATTTTGGGTTTACAAGGAGACAACAATGGGCATATTTAAAAATTGAATATACTTTAGTAAAGGACCAAAGGCACTGGATTGTCTGTGTTGTTTCTCCTGCAATATAATTCATAGTATAAATGTACCTTCTGTTCAGCATTGACACACAAAAACAGGTGATCCTTATTTGTGAGGGGGGTTCCCTTGTGTTAGCTGCTGCCGCAGTGCATTGGAGGGTAATGAAAGGAGAAAGGAATGATGTTACTAAAATCTAAATTCAGCTATCTTTCCTTCAAATAAGATCCAAGTGGAGGAAAATCGGACAAAGTTAAAGAAAGTTGGAGGTGTATGTTGGACTCTAAATATAAATGATTTAAAATTTGCTTGCAATAAGACTATTTAAATTGCTTTAGTGTTCATTTTATTTTTGTTTGTATTATATTGCAGCAGTGAGGCCACATTATTATTACCAAGTCTACTGACTGTATTGTTTTCTTATATTTTGCAAGTCACAGAAAATGGTATAATTGTGATAAGGGTAAACTCGACCATCTGTACTATTAATAGTAACAATTTCTCAGATGGAGAAAATTATTTTTGAAAAACTTCATGTATTGCCAGGTTAATTTGTAGTCAGTCTTTTTCTTGGATTTAAGTCTTTCCCTCCTCCTAAAAGAGTTAAAAACAACAGTGCCGGCCGGGCGCAGTGGCTCACACCTGTAATCCAAGCACTTTGGAGGCCAAGGCCGGCGGATCACCAGAGGTCGGGAGTTCAAGACCAGCGTGACCAACATGGTGAAACCCCGTCTTTATAAAAAAAAAAAAAATCACTGCCTATTAATATGCTTTAACACTTAATGACTGATACGGGTTTCTATATATAGTTTTAATACTGAGGTGTATTGAAAATGTTTTCCTTTACATTTGTCCCTTTCACAGCCTATATGTGTTTTTTTATAGCAACTAGCAAAGTAGATTAAAAGGAAAAAGCTTTTATGAAATTAACTTTACAGTGATTAAAAAGGAAATGAAAATAAAAGTAAAAAAAGTCGCCGCACCAAAAAAAAACCCCAACAACCCAGTTTACCAGACTTTTCCTCATATTGTAAAGGCATATTTTTACATAATTGTGATCAGTGTCCATTTTATGCTTCATTTATTTTAACATTTAAAAATGTAC